GTCATCCTGAAAACGGTGTTCCGCCTTAAAACTGAACAGAAATCAGGTCAGAGAAAGTTTGATGTTCCTGAAGCATTTTTTTAAATTAGCAGCAGTCACCTTGATGGCAGATGAAGGGCTTCTTAACGTAACAATAATCATCCCCCCATTCATGTTGCAGATTTTCTTGCCCACAGTGTTGTTGACCATTAACGTTATTTTTTGTGTGGTGCCAGATCCCGAAGGAGCTTTGGCTCCCGTCAGACCAAGTCCAGGGGTTCCTGTACAGACCGATCCAATAAGAACGAGTGTCCGGTTTTGCTTTTTGGGCCTCAGTGTTTTCTGCCTCATTCTCAATCATGGCCAAGTCGGTGAAGTTTTCCCTGCAGTGCTGGTGAGCAGACTGCCAGGTTTTCTTGGTTGGGATGTGGAAATAGTTTTTCTTGTTCTCTGAAACTGCAGCAGAAAATAACCCACAGTGAGTTCAGTTATTCCTCTCAGATATTAACAACAGATGCTCAGAGCTTGGATCCCGTTTAGCTACAGTCTGCATGAGAGGTTACATTATCTGGTAAAACTAATTCATTTGAGCTTTAATTTTGCTAACACCTGACTGGCTACTCAGATCTGGAGGGAAACCACTTCATTAAGAAGGCAAAAAGGGAGTGATTACATTTTTCTGTCAGACACAAAACCTGAAACAGGACCTCATTTTTCATGCTTTAGGTTTGGATCAAACATGAGAAACTGGAAATGGATTGAATGCTCTTTGTTGCTTTTAATGAAACCAATCACTTTGTTAAATCAATAAAGTGTAATATTACCGTTATAGCAGATTAATTCATTTGTGTATTCACAATTCGCATCAATCCATAGTCCGTAATCACGCATCGCTACACATGTTTCCTTTGCGGACCAGTAATTTGGGTCTGAAGACTCCCAGTTCTGGTACCCAGTTCTACTGGTTTCTCCTGTTGCTGACCACCTCCAAGAGTTGGTGTCATTGCCCATGGAGGTTTTCCAGTTTTCAGGGTCATCCCAGAGTCCGATCCAGGCCCAGGAATAAGAGAAATCAGCTTTCAGCCTGCTGATGTCATCCATGTTGTCAAAGGTGGCCAGGTCGGTGTATTTCTCTCTGCAGAACTGTCGGGCTTCGGTCCAGTTCTTTGGTGTGGAAACATAGTGGTACTGACGAGGGGGGGGCTGTGAGCAGGAGCTGAGGGGAAGTCCTGTGTATTGATGGAGGAAAAGTGACAGATACAGAATATATAAATGTTACGTATTGAAAACAAGATAATACCTTAAATATGTGTAACATCCATGAAAGTTTTCTTACCAGAGGAGAGTATGATTATCAGGGTCATGAGCAGATCCATCTTTGTTTAAACTGTAACAAGAAAAAAATATCAAAGCACTTTATCGAAAAAATAGAGAAAAAATAAACATTTATTTCAGAATTTCCAGACTATCCAGGGTGTAACGAAATCCAAATAATAAATAGCCCATCATTATTTGCTGAAGGGAACTCCACCAGCTTTAAATCTTCATAACTTTTATTCACGTATAAAAAACAAAAAGAGGGAGTTAAAGACTTTTTCCACACAGTATTTTTTACCTTCAAAATGATAAATAAATCAGATTTATTTCTCATTTGAGCTGTTTTGGGTCACACTGTGAAATTCTGCTCTGATATCTCCACCAACATGTTTCTAGTCTCTGCTGCTGCGTTTGAAGCAAAAGGCTGAGAGAAACCAGAGGAGAGGATTCAGAGGACAACGATTACTGAGAGCTGACAGCTGAGGACCAAAAGCACCGAGGACAGGAGGAAAAATATGTTTCCCTTCAATCAGAGTTGAAACAAAAAGTCAGATTAATGTCTGCAAGTCCTTTTTTCCTGTAGAGTTCAGCACAGTCTGATCTAGAGAGGCTTTCCTTTTTCTGCCTTCCTTCAGTTTAACTTCAAACGCTGCAATGATGCTCAGCCTAACTCCTCAAAATGATGGAGACATGAAAACATACTCAGAGGTCTGTGAACAGCTGCTGGAGGACCATCTGATTTGGGATACCTGGGAAGGAAAATGTCATTTGTAGCTCCTCTGAGAAATGGGGAGTGCTGGAAAAGATTTTCATATGCAAAGTTTGACTTTGGTTAAGGTCTTTTGGGTTTGTTTACTACCTATTTAATTCATTATTGGCGTGTCTTTCACCAATTATACAGAAAATATCACTTGTATTTATTTTGTTACCAGGAGCTTCCTAGAATCATTGTGACTGTCCTGGAGATTCTTCTCTTTTGCTTCTTTGTTGAGGGTACCTGGTTTTTAATTCCTTTAGGACAAGTTGTCTCGCATGTCTGGCGATGAAGAACAATTTCGTTAATCCCATCAAGGATGAATCTCCCATTCCTGTGCTTATCATTGAAATTGTATGACTTGCCCTTTGTGCCATCATCACACCTGAGAAGATTCTCCTTTTGATCAATCTACATGGGGGCCCTTTCCTGTCTCCTGAGAATATGCATAGCCCTGTCCTTTTGGAGATTCTCCGTGGGACTTCAATCCATCCATCTATCCATCCATTATCCTCCGCTTATCCGAGGTCGGGTCACGGGGGCAGCAGCCAAAGCAGGGAGACCCAGACTTCCCTCTCCCCGGCCACTTTCGCCAGCTCCTCCGGGGGGATCCCGAGGCATTCCCAGGCCAGCCGGGACACATAGTCCCTCCAGCGTGTCCTGGGTCTTCCTCTGGGCCTTCTCCCGGTGGTGCGAGCCTAAAACACGTCCCCAGGGAGGCGACCAGGAGGCATCCTGATCAGAT